TGCTGACTCTCAGCCTACCCGAGGGCACAGCAAAAAAATCTTCAAGCCCCGTCTGAGAACTACTCTACGTACTTCATTTTTTTACCTTCCGGAGATATCCTTATGAATGACCTTCCAGAAGAGATAGTCAGCGCCCCCAGCAAGGCGGTCTTTAAACTTCGTCTTGCACCACTTAGGTTTATCTACTCTTCCCCAATAAAAAGAAACTTCGTCTTGACCGCCACTTAGGTTTATCTACTCCTCCCCAATAAAAAGAAAAAGTAAACTTCGTCTTGACCGCCACTTAGGTTTATCTACTCCTCCCCAATAAAAAGAAAAAATAAACTTCGTCTTGACCGCCCCTTAGGTTTATCTACTCTTCCCCAATAAAAAGAAAAAAAAACGTCTTGACCGCCACTTAGGTTAATCTACTCCTCCCCAATAAAAAGAAAAAAACATTTTGCTTTATATAAGAGTTCGCAAGTCTTCATTTTATTTCCTCGCCTCGAGCGGGGAACCCTACTAATCCCTTTTCAGTACTCTCTGTTGTAGAGGGTAATTCAAACCAAAAGAAAACACAGATACCTTTCAAGGACCGGGGACATTTGGGCAACAGCCTGGAACCCGTGAATCACTTCAAGATTTCAAGACTTCAAGACATTTCATTTCTACATATCTGGNGGATGAGATACTGCACCTAAATATTCTGCCTTTCAGAAATAAGCAGAACGAACCTTTGACGAGCAGTGTTGGAAGCCAAGGAAACTAGCTGACAATACAAATATCTGGACGCACGATTGGTCTCGGCCACTACTGTCCTGTGCAAACTGAACAGAACTGAACTGAAGGAAACGTGTAGAACTGCAATATAGGACACTCGTAGTGGTAGGGGCCGGAACGTGGCTTACTACCGGAAGAAATCTGGACGCTCGATTGGCCGTAGCCATCTCCTGTCCTGTGCAAACTGACTGACTGACTGATTGACCTGACCTTCAACGTACTGTTCGAAGCCGGACGCGGACAAGTTGAAACCTCAGCAACAGTTGGGAAAAAGCACTTTTGGATAGTGTTGTCGGTCACATTTTTGCAAGCCGTTGTCTAATAAAGTTACCTTCGTGGTTTTTCTGCGACAAATACCTTGTGATTGACAGCAGAGTCACATGTTGATTGATTTGTTTTACTGCGGATGCTACTGGTGTGCATTCATTCTATGCTATTTGACATCGTTTACATCTTAGTGAAGCCTGACTGGGATATATGAGTTGTTTTCGTTTTTGCGCTTCGTGACCCATCAATTGTTTGAAGTGGAGTGGTCTTCCATTCTTTATTTTCTACGTCTACTCTTAGTTAATATTTGAACATTGTTTGAGATCCCACTGGTCAGATCACACAACAAATCCTATCTAACCAGATACTTACAGCACGGTTTCATGCTGGGGAGTTATGCCGCCATTTCAGAGAGTATAGCAATACTCTCTGCAACGCCTATTGTGACAAGAATCATACGTGACTTTTTCTCGGCCAAAGGATTACATTTGCCGTCAGATCGATACATTAGCATTGCAAGTTTCAATGTTACCAACTGGCTACCCGTTTGCTTCCCTCATGGGCGAGGGTCTTTCCGTCGGTCTTCCGCTAACACAGGCGTCAATTGGACATGCCTTATTTGGTCAAAATAATTCTTGTACCACTGCAGCGCAACTGATCCAACAAGCTGTTCTACAGAATACTCTTGGAGTTGCATTCAGTCCTTTAACACCTGCGATCGGCTCAAACACAGTTCAGAACCCCAGCCAGGTTGGAGTTTTACCTGGCTCTGTTCAGTTGTCGTCTCTTAGCCCTTTGGCTTGTATTAACCCGCTGGCATTATATTCATCAATGGGCACAGTTCAAGCTCCCTTAAGCGGGTCTGGAGGGCCCACTGCGGCCGACGTGGACGCCCACACAATTGTCCGTGCACCAGTGTTGTACAAAAAAAGTGTAAGTTAGTTTTCTGTGCTTTATTACTACCTTACCCGTGTGGCACAAACACTGCCTGTTTATCATTGTTTTTCGTCTGACTTGAAGATTTCAAAGTAAGCTTCGAAAAAACATTCATCCGGTGTGTCGCACGTTCCTGTTGTTTCCCCATCGCACCCAATTTTCAAATCAGTATCATCGTAGCGCTTTTTCGCACGTAATCTCAAGCACCAGTTTTTCTGTTGGTATCCAGTAGTAACCCCAAGTCTTTGTTTATTTGGTACTTTGTTAATTGTTAATTTGCAACATCAGTGGGATTGTCACCATGTTCATGGCTGTTTGCTTTTTTACTATCATATCGGCAGAATAACCACATTGAACACCTTGGCTATAACATCTGAGTGAATAACCTAACCCAAAGCCATTGCTTAAGGTTTCTGTCGTCGGTCGGCTTTCAGTGAATCGAGGATAATAAAACTCCACATTCAGGAAGACCCGTCGCGAAGCGATGCAATTGCAACGGATATTAATATCCAGGTGCGTTATAGCATGCAGTGGTCAGGTCAGGTTGCACAGGACGATAAAGTCTTTCGCCAACCGAGCCTCCAGATTCTTGTTCCAGCTGGAACCACGTTCTTCCGGAGCTTCGACTTCTTGTCGACCGTTTGACCACAGCCGATTTCTTCGTTCGGGACAGCCTCCCTTATGGGGTCCGTATCTGATACTTCAAGGAAGCCAAAATCCTCGAGATCGGGCGATCAGAATCCAGATGCATGTTTAAGCTGTTTGTTCCGGGGGTCAGGCCTGGTTGCACAGGACTGAATATGGCCACGACCAATCGAGTGTCCGGAATTCCTTCGATGGTATACTCACTACGCGGACACCCAGCTCCGCTCAAATAAGAACGAGAAATAGGATCTCATCTCACCAAGTTGGCGAGTGATGTAAGCGTTCCATTACGTGCACCAGTAAAAAGGGAAACGGCGTCCTAAACATTTGGCACGCCTACGCTCATCTACACTGCCAGAGATGGGAATAGTTCCACTCATCGCTTATTTAGCCTTANTGCACAGTTTGGAGGTCGACTATTTCCTTTGGAAGCCGGTTCCAACTATCGACTATCCTAGTGCTGAAAAAGTGCCTATGGATGTTTAGCGGACACCTCTGCTTCATGAGCTTGGACTCTTTTTTATTACACTCTTTCGTGTGATGAACAGCAGACGCTGTACCCCATACTCATGAAAACTTGCTGTTCAGTGATGGAAACCGGTAACCTAAGCCCCGGGTCTTGGAGTGGCGAACCACATAACGCCCCGATAGGTTAGGTGTGGTATTGGACCGGTTGACAGCAAAGTCGCCTACCACCAAAGTTGGGTGGTGGTGGCGGGGCTCGAACGTCGGCCGATAGGGTCCAAAGCGCTCCTGTGACAGCGAGTAAAACACTGCACCACCACCACCTCTAGTGCCATAGTGAAGGGCTATTGTGAAAACATTATCCACTCCCATCCCCGATATTCCCTTCATGATTTTAAAGATTTCTATCAGGTCTCCTCGCGGTCTCCTTTCTAATGAAAAAAACCTTAGAGCCTCTAGTCTTTCCTCAGATGTTCTTCCCTTTCGGCCTTCAAACATTCTGGTGGCCAATATCTGAACTTTCTCTAAAAAGGCAGCATCCTTCTTGAATAGAGGTGATCAAGCCTGGGTCGGATTGCCACCGAATTTTCATTAAGAATGGTCTTTGTTGCTATCTTTACTTGCCCTTATGAATGAAGAACTAGAAAGTTGGAATCGGAGTAAAAATACAGAATGCAGTTAAACCGAACTATGGATGGCGCTGGGGACGTTTCCCGTGCTTAACTGCCAAGAACTGTTATGAAATATCCATGAAAACCGGCCTATCCTCTCCCAGGACCCAGGCGCCGTAAAGTAAAGTAAACTAAGAGATCGAGTAGATGCATGAGTACCACTGTTTTCGCCACAGTCATTCACTCAAATCATGGACCCAGCTGATTCCCGGGCTTCCAACCGTGAATTATCATCGTCGTCATCATCATCATTGTACAGCGAAATACAGAGAAGCGAACTTCACTGATCGCTGCCAAACTCGCAGTGTATATGCACTGGGTGGACGGGACAGCACCTTGTTGGCTGGCGGCTGCCCAGCTTGGGCGGGCGGTAGCTGTCCAGTGAAGCGCGAAGACCTTTCTTGATTACTCCAAAGCGTTCGTAATAATCGCCGGAGACTTCAATGCCCAAGTGGGTCCCCTAAACGAATCAGAGAGGCTTCTTGGTGGACCACATGCAATCCCAGCCAACCGGACAGACAACGGAGATCGCCTACTTCAACTCTGTGACGACCACAGACTGTTCCTGTCAAGCACGAACTTCTCGCACAAGAAACGTCACCGTTTTACATGGAGACCGCCAACCTCTTCACAGTCCTGGACCTAAATCGGCCACATCGCTATCAGTTACCGCTGGAGGGGATCGATTCAAGACTGCCGCTCTTACTGGTCAACACCTGTGGATACGGACCACGCTTTGCTGCAAGCCAAATTCTCCTTACGCCAGGCTAACAACCGTAAAAAAGCCACCGAAAACGGATACCTACGATAGAACGTCAGCGATTGTTGCAAATCGGCGTTCGAAGCGGAACTCTCCGATCGCCTGTCAGTTCAATCACCAGCCGAATGACTCAATAAAATGGGAAAAAATCAAGGAAACTATGCAAATCTCAATAAAAGCAACTTCAGACCCCCACGCAGACTCAAAACATAAACGATGGATCTTATCGACCTCGGTTGCCCTGCTGGACGCCCGCAGAACCCTTCCTCCGAATGCCGCATATGACACAGCGCGCAAATCCCTCAAACGCCAGTTCATCCAGAGTCTGAGGAATGACTGCAAGAAGTGGTGGATAGGAAAGTGTAGAGAGATAGAGAAGTCTGCGGCTATTGGTAGTAGTCGCAATCTCTTCCGTCTAATTAAAAATACAGGTCCTAGGAAAATAAGCTTGAGGTAATTAAGGAATCCAATGCCGCACTGATTCACGATCAGCAGCGCTGTCTTGATCGATGGGCTGATTAATTCAAGGCTCAGTTCAACTGGCCCTCATCAACATCTGAACTGTCATTCTCCACCGCGACTGCGCAAATTCTGCCAGTCGATGCCAGTCCTCCATCTGAAATGGAGGTTTCCCGGGAAATAAGCTATCTCAAAAGGTATAAAGCCTCAGGCCCAGACTGGCTGTCCCCATCGGTTTTTAAATATGGAGGTTTAGCATTGGTTTCGGAGTTAACAAAACTTTCGTAGACTTTTCGTAGACTCACCATCTCCGTCTTCCTAGATCTGAAAGCGGCTTTCGATTCAGTCGACCACTAAACTCTGGCGCTGCCTTTCTCTGAAAGATGTGC